CCATTATAACTAGTACTATCCATTTGGAACTTGACCTAGCACTAAACCCTGTTGTCTTCAGAGTGATGAACAGAGAGAGGTGTCCTTGGATTAAAGCGCCATTTCCTTGATCCATGATACACAGTGCATTTTCGTATAGACCCACGTCACCATGCCCTTCCTCTGGAGGAGAGACAGTCTTTGGAAAATAACCTTGACTAATGGATTTGGTTGTGCTGCGACTCTGTGACACAGACATCCACTTCTGAGTCCTCCCTACTTTAGTAGACACGCTACTTTTTAGTCCTTGCTGCTTTAGACTCAATCCTCTTCTTCCTTAGTGTTCAGGGACTGTCCTCCCCCCACCACCCGAGCCCCAGCCCGGCTCTGGTGTGCTCTTTGTAGACGCCTGCTTGGCCCGGGTAGATTTCCACCATGTGCTCCTTTCGTACCTACAAACCTATGCAATTCCTTTTATCAACAAGACTGTACTACTGAGATCATCATGCTCTTGCTACTGTGCGAGGCATTCAGAAGAATTTTGAATCTTGCATTTACCTGTAAAGTGCTTCCATCTAATCAGTGCAAAGGGACTAATGTACCTGAAAATGATAGAGCTATATGTAAGATCAGAGGGAAGGACTCACTTTCCATCAGGGCAAGAACTAATCCACAGAATCTAACCCGTTGCCTGGCATGGCCTCTGAATATTTTTTCGTAAAATGAATAAGTGAAGAAAGCTAGCGTATCAGAACGGTTTCACAAAAAGAGGAAAATTCAAATTTTGAAGGTCGGCAAAGATTGGGGTTGATGCAGACAAAAAGAGCAAGGGCACACTGTAAATGGAAATGAATGCAGTGAACTTAGTGGACTGGGGAATTTTGCCTGATTGGAAAACACTTTACACAAGTTGGAAAACACAAAATTTCTCCCTTTAGGTAGAATGGAGGGACTTCGGCCTTGTTAAACAAGTTTAAAAGGTTCTGCGGAAGGTGTGTGTGTGTGTGTGTGTGTGTGTGTGTGTGTGTGTGTGGAGAGTGACGAGGAACAGATAGTGTTTAAATTATCCAGGTGTGGGGAGCGTGGAGAACCCCAAGCGAGGACAGCCAGGGGCGGGCAGCATCATAACAGCCGTGAGAGCAGGGTTTGGGGTCTGTGTGGAAGGATAGAGAGACACAGCAGGTGTTCTAATGAACACGGCAGCACAGTACCGTCGCTCTCCGGGGAAGGATGGGTCCAGCATAACTACAGGGTACCCGCCAGTGTCGTCAAAAGTTTCAGAAGGATAGATGGCTTGGGAGAGGAGAAAAGCAGCTTTGGGGAAGTGCATACAGGATAACGTGACATCCAGTCATTATCTTATTAGATAGAGATGAAGGGTGGAGAAGGCACGTTAGAGTTGTATCTCAAGCACTGTTGCACAGAGGTTGTCAGGAAGCAGGGCTGCAGTGATGGCTGTTAATTTCTCCCATGAGGTGCTAGTTAGACTCCTGCTTTCACAGCTGGTAATGATAGCATGCAGCAGCACCATCAGCAGTGTCACCTGAGTTGTTTCCAGTTTCAGCCTTCTCTTGAGAGTCAGAGCCTCACTGAATGATGTGTGAGTTGGTGGTAATGTCAGTGTGAGGGTGGGCTGGGGTCTTCAGAAGCAGGTGTTGCTGATCACAAGGTGCGTGAGTGCATCTGGAGCGTTGCCGTGTTGAGCATCTCGTTCTAGTGCCTCCAAAGCATTGCTGTAGGTGAGATGTGCTTCTTTACCTTTTACAGTGTGAGCTATGGGTATACCTTTGTACATCTTCATCAGGCAAAATGGTAAGTGCTTAACATATAAACGTGTGGCAACACCCACGAGAATCTCACATGTGAGTAGATTCATAAGTCCTTTGTATCTTGAGCTAAAAGTGTAATTGTGTTTCTGCTATGGTGTAAGCTCAGTATCCATAAGACTACTGACTTTTCAAGTGGCTTTAATCTCAAGGTCTTCCTGGCTGACTTGGGCAGGGTAAGAATGATGTTTTTCCCTTAAATGACTACTTTGCAAAGTTATCTCAGCCTTTATGTTAGTCAGCTTTCTATTGCTGTGACAAAATACCCGAGAAAATCAAATTAAATGGAGAAAATGGTGTATCCCTGTAATCCCAGCACTAGGGCGACTGAGGCAGGAGAATCATAAGTCGAGGCCACCCTGGGGTACATAGCAAGATTTTATCTCAGAAAAAAAAAAGAAGGAAAGATTTATTTTGACTCATGATTTCAGAGGTTTCAAACCATGGTAACATGGTCCTATGTCTTTTGGCCTGTGGGAGGAAGAAAGCTGCTTCATTTATGGTAGGCAGGAAGCAGAAAGAAGAGAGAGACCAGAGACAAAAATATACCCTTCCAGAGCACTGTTAGTCACTTTCCCCTAACTGTGACAAAATACCCAACACCCACAACTTGAAGGAGGAGAGCTTAAGGTTTAATGTGCAGTTGGCTGAAATGGCATGGTGGAGAAAAACTGCTCAACCCACTGCACCAGAAAGCTCAGAGACAGAGACAGAGAGAAACCAGGGTCAAGAATACCAGCTACCAGGGCACCCCCAGTGACTGCAGACTCCACCTCCCAAAAGCACACTGAACTCTGAGCTCTTTGATGGGTTGATCCACTGATAAGTGCAGTGTTCCCATAATCCAGTCACATTCCCAAAGCCCCACCTCTAAACACGAGCCTTCCGAAGGACAGTGTAGATCCAAACCCTAACATTCAGCCCCAGGTCCCCAAAAGACTCATGTCCATGCCGTTATGCAAAATTCATTTAGTCCATCTCTAAGAGTTTGCCAAAGTCTTCACATTTCCAGCATTGCAGAAAAGTCCAAGTCCAGCATCTCCTCTGAGACTGCAGACAAACTCTTAGCTGAGAATCTCTATAAATAAAAACACTGCCAATATACAGTGTTACAGGTAAGCATTCCCATTCCAAAAGGGAAAAATAGGGGGATGGAAGAAATAAGACCAAAGCTAGACCAAAAGCAAGCAGAGCAAACATTAAATCCCATACCTCCATGTTCAGGATTAAGGCAGGTTATAGCAAGATGTGAGCTCCAAATGGCTTGAGCAGCTCTGCCCCTGTGACACTCATGCCCTCCCTCTTGGGATGGCTCTGCTCACTGCCACTGGCTTCCCGCTGGCCATTCCATCTTCCTGGCATCTCCAGCTTCTAGACTGTATACTGCACTTTTGGCTTCACTTTCACAGTTTCATGCATCACCCTCTCAGGGGCACATAGCCTGGCGCCCAGGCCTTCCAGAAACCTGGGTGGAAGCCTCCCAGACCACATAACTGTTGCATTTGTCATACCTGAAAAGCCAGCACTGTGTGGATGATACCAGCATCTACCACCGGCTCATGCAGTAGCTGGGAGTCCCTTGGACCATGGGTGCGACAGCGTCTTAGTTCCTGGATATCTAAACTTGGGGAAACACTTTCCTAAGTGGCTCTGAATGAGCAGGGTACCTTGGGATTCTCTTCTCTAAGTCGTCCAAGGGAGTTTACCCATTTACATCCATGAGCCTGCAATGAGTGGGGTCTGGCCATTTCTTCTGGTTTTTATTTTTTTATTTTTTATTTTTTATTGGTTTTTCTCTCGTACCAGGAACAGAACTCACGACCTTGCACTTGCCAGGCAGGCGCTTTGCTGCTGAGCTAAATCCCCAGCCCCCTCTTCTGGTTTTTAATATAAATCTGGCAAAAGTCAGCCAGCAGTACCTATGCCAAACACTGAATGAAGAGCTGCCTTGAAATTTCCTCCAGATTAATTAATTCACCACTCTTGATCCCAGTTTCCTGCAAAATCTCAGAACATGGGCAAAAGTAGACAAATTTCCTTCCAGAGTATAACTAACACACATGGCCTGTAGCCCAGTTGCCAGTGTTCCCAGCTGGAACCTCCTGAGGCTGGGCTTCCCTGTCTGCTTTCCTATCAGCGTTCTGGCCTTCTGAGCTCTGACTGGAATCGCCCATCCAGCTCTGTCGACAGCATTCTAGGGCTTTTCTGGCCTGCACCTCCGAATCTTCCTAAACTCCTCCCACAAGCCAATTCCAAAGGCTTCTAAATCACATGACCTGGCACGGTCACAGCAGCGACCCTACTCATGGGACCAGTGTTAGTGGCTTTCCCACTGCTGGAACAAAATACCCAACACCCGTAACTTAAAGGAGGCGAGCTGGGTCCAAGGCAGGAACAGCATGGGAGTAGGGCATGGCAGAGGACTGCTGCTCAGCCATTGGCTGCTGGGAAGTAGAAGAGAGAGAAAGGATGAACCAGAGTCAAGAATATACCCATCCAAGAGAAAAATATATACCCGTCCAGGTCTAACCCCTGTAACGAGAACTCACTCCCAACAGCACGTTCAGCCGTGAGCTCCTCAGTGGGTTAATCCACCAGTGAGTGCAGTATCCCATGACTCAGTCACCTTCCACAAATCCCAGCTCTGAACACACGATACTTTTGGGGAACATTTTAAATTTAAACCATTACAAGCACCTCTCCAATGACATACTTACCCCAATGAGGCCCCACTTCCTGAAGCTCCGCCTCCCAGTAGCCTTTGAAGTTAACAGTCCATAAATGGATGAATCTGTTGATGAGCTCAGAGTCCTTATGATCCAATCAGGCCCCCCACATCCAAGGCACAGCCTCTACACACAGCTACGCTGGTGACACAGACTTCACTTCAACGCACGAGTTTTTGGAGGACACTGAAGACCCACACCGAGCAGCCCGTGAGTTTTGTTATTTTATAAGAAATGTTCTGTGTTGTTAAAAAAAAATAATCTTAAGATCGACTTTGAATGCTGTTGTGAAGGGGTCACTGACATCCACGAGGCAGCCAGAGGACTGCATCATTTGTGAGGTGGACGCAGTCCGGTGTCCTGCCACGCTGCCCTGTTGAAAGGTCACAGCCGCTGTGGGAAGAGGAAGACAACTGTGGAGGGTGAGGCAGAGGCAAACACGCATCTGCCGTCCCTCCTGTCTCCACAGGCTTCTTCCACCGGGACCTGAAGCCTGAGAATCTCCTCTGCATGGGACCAGAACTGGTGAAAATCGCAGACTTTGGTTTGGCCCGGGAAATCCGATCAAGACCTCCCTACACAGACTATGTGTCTACCAGATGGTGAGTCCCGTTTTTCGGAGAATTACTCAATTGCACTTCTATAAGGACACCTTCGTACTGAGAGTGAAGTCAGTCATAAACGTTGAATTGTAAGTAAAATGAAGCGTGCAGTCTGAGACACTTTTTGTAGGTATGTTGGCATTGGATCAGGTTAAACACTTGGTTGGTAAATAATTTTAAAAGGAAACCTATCATGTATTTCCAAGGTATAAGACTTTATATATAGATCTTCCCAATAACATTTCCCTGAAAGAGTTATGTAAGAGGTTCTCTGAACCTCTGTATGAAAAATCATCTAGTTATTGTTTTTTTTTTTTTTTTTTTTTGGTTTTTCTCCGGTACCAGGAACCGAACTCACGACCTTGCGCTTGCCAGGCAGGCGCTTTTGCCGCTGAGCTAAATCCCCAGCCCCCTCATCTAGTTATTGTTAACACTTTCAAACCCTAGGAGTTGATTTACAGTTTGCCAGGATCAAGCAGTGGCCCTTGTGCAGGTTTTATGTTCTTTCCCTTCCTTTCCGTCTGCCCTTTCCCCCAAACTATCACTCTGTGAGTGTTCAAAGGTGCTGTAGAGAAGACTCCTGTAGAAATGCTCCGTAGACAGCAGTGTGCCATGGAGATGCACTGTGATTTTAGCAGCAGCCATAGCAGTTGCCGAGTCCTTCCACGTCCGTGTACCACGCTGAACTAGGGAGAAAGCAGATACATAAGCTCTTGCTGAGAATTGCTCCTTATTTAATTGAATTTCTGATCAGTGGATGTGATAGCTAGCAACTAACTTTGTTCCTCCAGGTATAGGGCTCCAGAAGTCCTCCTGCGGTCCACCAACTACAGCTCCCCCATTGACGTCTGGGCTGTGGGCTGCATCATGGCGGAGGTGTACACTCTCAGGCCGCTCTTCCCTGGGGCCAGTGAAATTGACACGATATTCAAAATCTGCCAAGTGTTGGGGACACCGAAAAAGGTATGAACAGAGGCCTGTGGGCTAACGCGGGTGGCTTTCTCGGCTCCCTCTCCCCCAGCACTGGGTAGCACAGATGCTACTGAGCAGCTGCCCATTCTAGAATCCTCCTCTTGAGCTCGGCCATCCTCCCCTGCCCACATCCTCAGACGTGGCCGCTTCTCCCTTCCTTCCTCTCTTAAGTATGACCTCTGTCCTGGCCCCCTCTGCTTGCGCTCTGTAGTATCTCACCTCCTATGGAGCGTCTCTGTTCTCACGGATACGCTTTACACCTACTCAGAAGTCACCGCAAGGTAGTGTGTAGCCCCCATACCCGTACTTTACAGCTGTCTGGGATTCCTCCCCAACCCCACTCCCTTCCTGTCACCTCCAACTCTGTCCCTTTAAAACAGCGTTTTAACAATGACCTTTCCCTTACCGTGCTGTGTGCTTCCTTTGTCCACACCCCAGTCTGTCTATGGCTCCCACAGTCTCAGAGGCCCAGCCTTGGGGCTGTTTGTAATTTGCCTTCTTTCCTTCTCTTCGCCCAAGCTGTTGGCCGTAAATCCTGTTCTGTGTCCCTCCCTGGTATCTCTCCTGTGGCTCCTGACCTTCCAGGTTCACGGCTGACATCACACACAGGACAGCGGTCCCCTGCCCGGGTCGTGGGCGTCTTCGTAACTTTACTGCCTTCTCATCTTTACCTCCAGATTATCTTTCGCTCTGTGCCCCCATTCGTGCTCCTAAAGAGCAGCTCTAGTTATTGTCCTCCTCTCTGAGAAATCCTCCCTGGGGGCCCTTCGCCCAGCCCTGGACTCGTTCCTACTCCATGTGCCCCAACCAGGCTGTGCGCCCCGGAGCGATCCAGTTTCTGTGCTCTGTACACACCCTCCACCCGCGTGAACGTCGCACCCGTGACCAAGTCTTCCGGTCCTTCCAAGGCCTCAGTCTCCACCCTTGCTGTCTCTCCAGTCTCCCATCTGTCTTCAGCTTTGTTCTGTTATTAACAGAGTCATCCATGTGCATATCTGTTTCTTGGACCATAAAACAGTTCTGGGCAAGGGTTTCTCTTATATTTATTTCACCACGTTCAGCGCCATTGCTAGTATGAACTAGACCCTCAAATTTTTTAAATCACTTGAATGAATCATTATTGCCATCACATCAAGATTTCCGCAGTCACCTGCTGACATCTCTCCATCCTGTGCACGTCTGTATCTTTACCTGTCTTGTGGCTATTATCATCTTTTACTCTGTATTATTGTGTTTTAAAATAAGTGTCCTATTTTCTCCTTTAAGAACAGTGCTCTCCTTAAGTGAAGGATTCATATAAAATGATCATTCACTTTGAAAAAGGAGGAGGAGGCGTTGTATCAGGCTGTGTGCTGCACGGCAGTAGTGTGAGAACCAGCAGGGGCCTTAAAGGGCCCTTGCCCGGCATGTTCTGCTGCGTGCACAGCTCAATGGGTGGAAAGTGGGGAGCTCGAGACTTCCTTTCCTGCTGGGCTTCTCAGCACGCATATTTCAAGTCGTGAGGCTGGGATCTAGTAGGATCTATGTAGGGCTTTAGACATTTATTTGAGCAGGAACAAGTGTCTTGTTTTATTTTGTTTTCCTCCAAAAAAATATCTCATTCATGGTTTCTAAAACTTGTGCCTCCTGAAACACAGTTGGGGAAATACTAATTGCTTCAATTCCCAAATCTCAAGCATTTTACATAGGTCATCTTATGTAAGGGTTAGAAAACAAGTGGGTGACAATCTAGCGTCTTTTCTCCTGGTTCGCAGGTCTCACATCCTCTGTGGTCCCTTCGGGAATACAGTCCCGCGTCTCGTCAGACACTCTGCCGCCGTGGTGCACGTGGGAGGGTAATGACAGTGTTGCCTTTCCGTGAAAGGCACACAGGGAGGGGTGCGAACACGAGTGACAGCGTGGGTTTAGCAAGATTTGCTGTCTTTTTCTTCTTTCAGACCGACTGGCCTGAGGGCTATCAACTTTCAAGTGCAATGAACTTCCGCTGGCCCCAGTGCATACCCAATAACTTGAAGACCCTGATTCCAAATGCTAGCAGCGAAGCAGTTCAGCTCCTGAGAGACATGCTTCAGTGGGATCCTAAGAAACGACCAACAGCTAGTCAGGTTTTCTTCCAGTTTCTTTTATTTCATTTCTCATGAAGTTCATATCTAATTCTGCATAAATTTTATAAATTATGTGGCAAACATATAGGGACAAGAAGTTAAAGAACTTTGATACTATATATCATTAAAGTAGTTAAGGTTAAACAATATAGTTGCTTTAAAAATTAATACAATTTACATGATACACCATATGTATGGAAATGAAAATTAACAGTTCTGTCTTTGGAGAATGTTTTTAGTTATATTCTCTATGACTCAAGATTATGAATGAGTCTGTAGTGGTTTGTATTTTTTTTTTATATTAAAAATTAAAAAAACCTGACAAAACAACAAGGAAGACAAAATCAAAATAACACAAAATCAGCAAAAATGATACATGACCCCAAGAAAAAAATGATAGAAATTTACAGTGGTTGTGATATTATATACTGCTATGTTCTGTGAAGTTGCTCAGTCTCGTAAGCATAAGAATGTAAGATCAATCAAACAATCAAAGACAATAACAAGTAAAATAATAATAATAATCATTTTTAAAAAAGAACATTGGAACTGATGCAGAGCTTCACCATACAAAATGATAGGAGTTCAACAATGGTTCTTAAACATGGTTTGTGTTATTTTAGTAGTCTTGCTGGGTGTGGTGGCGCACGCCTGTAATCCCAGCACTCAGGAGGCTGAGGCAGGAGGATCATTGCGAGTTCGAGGCCAGCCTGGGCTACATAGTGAGCTCAAGGCTAGCCTGAACTGCATAGCGAGACTCTGTCTCAAAAAGACAAAATAAAAAGATAGTAGTCTTGTAGCAGTTTGATCATAAACCAGTACTGGTTGTGGAAGGTAACTACTGACGTAAAGTTCAACTTGCTCATTGTGTGGATGACTTGGAACGGCAGGTGAGGTAGAGCCAGGCTAACAACTGCGGTTGGCGTTTTATAGCACTTTATATTCTGCAGATGGCTTCACTGTGTCTTATGTGATTTTAACCTGGTGAAGAGCCCATGAGATAGATGTTTTTGTTTTCATTTCTGTAGGTAAGAAAAGAGAATCTCAGGAAGTTTAAGGGAGTTAAATGGTTTGCCCCAACACCTGGTACAGATGGTGCAGCCAACTGCAATCTCGTTGTGGCGATGCGGGGCTTTTGATGGAGTTCCTGCTGCAGGCCACTTCGCCCGGGGTTAGGAAATGCACCCAAATGAGGCATGGCAGTGCTTTGGGCTCTGTCCACCCTCAGCCTCTTGCAAGCCTCCTCGGCACTGGGTGCGTCTGGCCCCTTCTCAGCTGGTCCCACGGGTGATGACCCTGCTCAGAGTGTCAGATAAGTGACCAATTCTAACCAAAGAAGGTTATTTGGCTACTGAACGTGGTGGTGCTATATGAAGAAAGTGCCAGTGTGATGTGAGAATTTGTAACTAGCGAGATGATAGCTGGAGGAATAATTAAGGAGTGCAGAAAAGCCTTTTTCAAGAATTCAAAGGAGGAAGGCCCCAAATCTGCCATAAGGCCCTGGCTGGCTCAAGAGAATTGGGAAGCTCTCAGAAATGCACCTTTGATACTGAAATTCACAAATGGTTTCAGGGCAGAAATGAAGATTTCTGATGAACCTTATGATGAATCCTTAAAGGGTGCACACAAGAGATGAAAATAAAAAGATCCTATAACAGGCAACCAAGGGAATAATGTATGCTTTTAAAAACAGTGTCAGAAAAGCTAAAAATACTCTGTATCCTTCTAGACTTGCAAAAATGCCTGGGACTGCAGAGAAAGCTTTTCAAGTTAAATGCTGGAGTCAAGGACTCTTACCATGACCCCCACATTATCCAACCGTGTATCTACACTTATATATAAGCATTACCGATGTTTATAACTCATCAAGTAATACTATTATTTCTCAATGACTCTAAAAAGATACAGGAATGCAGAAAATATTTTAGAAAGAACTATAACCCCTAAGACTTTAAGATTTACCTCTGGCTATCCAGAAACCTGATTATCCAGGTGTCATGATAGGGAAGGGTTAACTGTATCATGTTAATTATATACTCATCACGCTTCTGGGGTGAAAGCATATATGCCTGCTTATTTTATACTTACTTTGTGTGTCTTCTAGCATCATTATATTTGCTTTTTTGTTTTACATCATTTTTTCCGGACTTAGAAGGGTGACATATAGCTAAGACACACAGCAAGTGAGTTACAAAAGCTGGGTCTGTTGGAGCCAGCAAGCTTCCCAGAAGTAACAGAAGTAACAGCAGTGCAACTGGCTACTTTATCCAGATAACTTTAAACGTTGCGACCAGTAGGTGAATGTGACAGTGTGCTAGGTGAGGAAACTCAGGGATGTTGCCCAGTCAGGATGCCGCTATCTTGTGGTTGGCTTGGGTTAAGCTCTTAGCAGTGACTGGTCCTCAGACAGCCCAGCGATTGGAGTGATACACTCTCCACAACCTCATTCGTCATTCCAGGCACTGCGATATCCCTACTTCCAGCTTGGACACCTGCTGGGCATCACCCCGCAGAGCCTGCCGGACTCAGGAAAGCCACAGAAGGATGTCCTAGAAAAGGCAGGCCCACCTCCGCACATCAAGCCAGTCCCCCCTGCCCAGCCCCCAGCCAAGCCGCACGCGCGAATTTCTTCCCGGCAACATCACGCCAGCCAGGCCCCTCAGCACCTCCTGTGCCCCTACAAAGCAGAGGCCTCCAGGACAGATCCCCCGAGCCATATTCAGGAGGACAAGCCAAGCCCACTGCTTTTCCCATCCCTGCACAACAAGAATCCTCAGGCGGTAAGTGTAGTGTTCACTTGTGAGCTTCGGGGCTGACGTGTTCCTGTTCTGACTACACAGATTATGTCAAGTCTTTCCTGTTCAGTAAACAAGGTCCAAGTATAAGACATTTATCTCGGCAATGCCAGAGGACTGTGAGAAGACCTGAGGCGTAGGTCTAAATTCAAGCTATCACTCACCTCTTAATAACAGCGCCACTTGGTCGGTAGCTGTGGTCAGGGGTCACAGCTGTGCTTTGTAGCCAGACTGCCAGGGTCTCAAATCTCAGCTCTGCCATTCAATAGCTCCATGACCTGAGCAGGTTCTGCGGCTTCTGTGTTCTCCGTCAGCTGTATGACAGGGTACATAGTGACAGCATCCGCCTGATGTGATTATTGGGCAGGCTGAATGAGTTAGCACGAGAAGAATTTAGAGAAGTCCCTGGCACGTACTTCGGACTTAGGGCCGGTCACTGTTTCATTAACCTCTGCCGGCTCAGAGTCACCATCTGTAAAAGGATGATCACAATACACATCTCGCCCAGACAGGATTGCTCATGAGGATCAGAGATTGTGACATTTGTGAAGGTATTTTGAAAATCACAAGGTGCTGAACTAACAGTTAGAGATTGCTGTTCACATTGCCGCTGGACGTTGATGTGAACACTGGGCTATTAGGTGAGCCCAGGTCTCTCTGTTCTTGGGCTGGTTTTCAAAGGGAAACAGTGAGTGTTGGGTTGAATAGAAAAATAACCTGACAAGAGATTATGGTTGTCATAGCTTTATAATGCTGACTCTCTGACACTTTTGAATCCTAGCCCTCTGGGAGGCTGAGGCAGAAGGCTCACAAGTTCAAGCCCAGCCCGGACAATTTAGTGACTTAGTAAGACCTTCGGCCAGAATGTAGTTCAGTGCCTAGGCACTGGGTTTAATCCCTAGTACATCAAAAAACAAAAAACAAAACAGAATTTAAAAAACCTCTTTCTGTCAGCTAGTGCTGACCGACTGTGGGATCCTCCCCAGCGCATTGTGGGCGCTGCTGCCCCAGGTCGTGTGCTTCATGCCCACCCGCACTCCTGTGCTGGCAGTCCCTGCTGTAGCAGTTAGGAGATGGTGTCCATGTCTCCTGGACAGGCAGAGACGGCCTTGTTCACCTTGGTTTCTGTGAGTGAGAGAGGTGGCCAGGCGTTAGTCTTCCCTCATCTCTGTCGTAGCTGTAGAAATCCTTTAACACTTCAGGCCCAGGGGCTGGGGATTTAGCTCAGCGGCAAAAGCGCCTGCCTGGCATGCGCAAAGTCGTGAGTTCGGTTCCCGGTACCGGAGAAAAAACAAAAAACAACAACAACAAAAAAAAACAAAAACAAAAAAACACTTCAGGCCCAAATGAGAGTCAGCCATCTTCAAGGGCACAAGAAACCCGTCCCATGTCAACCATGACGGCCAGGGCAGCTGAGAGGCGGGAGGTCGGGGATGCGGCTTCCACGGCTGCCTCTTCACAGAAGTGGTGCGTCCTGGAGAATGGTGTGCCTTCCGCTCCTTTCGTGTAGCAAGGGATTTACTCATGAGTGAGCACCATTAATGCCAAGTGTTGCTTTTTCCTCCCTCTGCTGGAATACACAGAAAATCCTAGCTGGCCTGGAGCACAAAAATGGTGAGATCAAGCCAAAGAGTAGGAGAAGGTGGGGCCTCATGTCCAGGTCCACTAAGGATTCTGAGGACTGGGCCGACGTGGATGACTTGGATTTCAGTCCGTCCCTCACCAGGATTGAGCTGAAGAACAAGAAGAGACAGAGTGACGACGCGCTCTGCAGGCAAGTGCGCCGCCCCGGCTGCGGGCAGCCTGCTGTGGGTGTGAGGGCCCGGGGGCCTTTCTGAAGACGTGCCCGCCTTGTGATGACTAAGCCACGTTCTCCCATGCAGATTTGAGAGCGTTTTGGACCTAAAGCCCTCGGAGCCCGTGGGCACGGGGAGTAGCGCCCCCACGCAGACCTGCTGTCCGCGGCGAGACACGCCCACCCTGAGGTCTGCAGCCAAGCAGCACTACCTGAAGCACTCTCGATACTTGCCTGGTAAGATAAACGACTCTCACCCAGCACTGATCTTGCCCTTGGGGTCACAAATGCGTAAAGATTCTGTTTTGGAAGGCAGAGACTTCCAGAGTAGTTCTTGGCCTGCCCGGTGCGCGGGAGTCGGTCATACTAGTTCACTCCTGCAGGTGAGACTGCGAAAACTTGCCACTGCTCATGAAATGAAACCCACATTTTGACTTTCAAGCCCCAAAAGACGCTTCTTGCTACATGCTACACTGCCTCCTGTCCTGGCCAGGGCTGGCCGCGCTGGCCTCTGCCCCGGTTCTTTATTTGTACATTTTTGCGGGAATAAAAGGTGGACTGTTTATTTCACTGCGTAAGTCAAAACATTGCAGGAATGGTCGCCGGTAATTTCAAAGGCCTCGCTGTATACATTTGCGGGGATGGGGAAGCCACATTACCCTGTGCCACAGAACACATTTGATACAGCCAGTGACAGGCACACCTAATTTTCAAAAGCAGAATATTATGATATGCCATTGAAAAGTTGGTTGAGCACGTAGGTCCCACAGTTTTACAACAGAAAAGGTGCTGTCGTGATTATAGGGCACCAGACCTGGGAAATCTCGGCAAAATCTACCAGCCTGCACAATTTTCGGATAGGAACAGAGGTGCACCGGAGGTGTGAAGCCACCCACCCAAGGACACCGAACATGGCGCTGCATTTGCTATTTTGGAATAAATTGTCTGCTTGCTTGCTTTTTTAATTTTTTTTTTTTTTTTTTTTTTTTTTTTTTTTTTTTTTT